AGGAATGAGAGTTTATTTTTTTTCCATGTCTAGATAAAACCCCAACTGAAGACTCTGGCTTCCCCTTGTCACGTGGTACCATCTTCTCCATCGCTTCATTTTCAACCATTTCATGCGGTTTTAAGTGTTCCTTCACTAACTTGGATTTAAAGCATTTTTATTTTGGGGGAAACCTGCCCCCCCAAAACCACCCAACAAACCATCTGAACCTCTTTGATTCTTAGGAGTTGAGTTTGACAATTTCCACCAACAATTACCAATCTGGATATAGTCCTATCTTAACTTTGTTTTATATTTATCACTTCTGACCCCTTCCCTGCACACAAATCTTTGTATGTTTTTTCCTTTACATTGTTAGTTATCTATATGAATAATTACAAATCACACATTCTATAATCATTACTCATATTTTTATACTTTCTTCCTACCAAAAGTAGCTTTTAATTATTACTTTTTCTAAAAAAAGTGTTTTACTCTCCAGATCCAAACTGGATACAGCATGTCCCAGACAACATTCTAAAGGAGGTAAAAATTATTTTGCTATTTCTTTACTGCTCTTTGAGACGCTTACTGTTTGTCCACTTACCGCCCCCCCTTCCTCTCAAAACACACGCATTCCCACCCCCCGTTTCTTTTGCAGGCCCCTGTTCTCAGCTAGCTTCTCTGCTTGGAAAGACCACTGTTGGTAATGACGTTTTACCAGAAGATGAGTAAGTCTGAAAAATCCAAAAGGACAGACCTGGATGAGCCTTCAGGAGCCAGATACCTGACTTTGAATCTCGCTCCTGCTACATGCCAGTACGAATGTTTTAGAACCTCTCCGTGCCTCAGTCTGTCTGCTTGTAAAATGGGATAACAAAAGCACCTACCTCAGTAGTCACTGGGAGTTAAAATGTCTCCTAAGTGTGGGATGTTACAAAGGACTTTTGCCAATACAGATGCGAAGATCTGTGAAAGAACTGCAAAACTATACCTTATTGCCCCCCTGTAGGATATTAGCCAGCTTTGTATTTTAATTCCTGCACTCTTTCCTTCTGTGACCATACATTCTTTCCAAGACTTCTTTGGACAAACTTTACAGCCCTGCTGATCCCCTTAATAATGGATTAAGATAATCTTTCACATCATATGTTCAATAAATATCTGTATGAATCACGGAGTGGGGGAGAGATTACAGAATGAATGCCATTCTATAAAGTGAATGCTCACAGGGTGGACCTGGGCAGTTTTCTATCTTTTTGCGAGGAGACACTAATGAAGACAGAAGAGATGCCCAGGGTGGGCATTCAGGCAACAGGCTGGCCTCTCTCCTCTTTGGCGTGCTCACTCAAGGCCCATGGCGTCATGCACAGTGAGTGCCCAGGAAGTGCTGATGAATGACCACAGAATAAAAAGGAGTCCTGATAACTCGATTTTTAAAGCAAAAGGAGGAATCAAATACGCTGAGATCTCCCTAGCTTTAAACTGCAGGATCGCTGAGTAAAAGGCAGTAATACAGAATTCTCCATAGTTATACTTTCAGACATAACCGTGATCCAGCAAATACCTGCACTGTGAAGACGTGCCTTAGGGAGGTGACCCCCCCCCCCCCGTGAAGGGCTGTTTGCTTGCCATTTAAAAATGTGTCCTCGGCAAGATCCCTTTCAGCATTATTAATTTAAGCTTAAGTCCACATTACAAGTCCTCTTCTCTGAAAAAAACAAACTGCTTTACATGAGTGGCATGTGATTGGTCTGGTAAACCCTGGTATTTTATGAGTTTATTTCCCCAGAAAGACTGTGTTATTTTCCTCTTTCATCTGTATGTGTAACATACCATTTTGCTTTAGCAGAGTAACAGACATCTTGGGTTAGCGTAGCACTTTATTTTTTCCATAGAATATTGATTTTTTTTAACACTGAATACAGTTTGATATATACCATTAAAAAACAACTCTCAGTTTACGAAAGATCAGCAAAAATACATCAAGGAGATAACTTGTGCGTTTACTAAGCCACGTTGTAATCACTGAACAGCTGTTGTCCTGGCGTCACCGGCACTATGACACACCAGCTGCATCTGACGCAGTGGCTACAGGGCGAGACACTGACAGGTGATTCCCATGTGTCAGTGGTGACACTGGTCAGTCACAGAGCTTCTGAAATGTTGCTACTGTCTCACTTAAACCTATAGCACTACCAAGGAGTCCTGAGCTATAACAAACTCCCACATTCGCTGAGCGATACTGGGAAGGAGGAAGGATGCTGGGTGAGGAATTGCCACGTTGATTCTTACCGTGTTATGTCGCTGAGCCGGTGACAGCGGGCAGCATTCTGGCCTATGAATCCTACACTTGTAAAACGAGAGCTGGCTGGATGCTTCCCTGACAGTTTCCCTTGCGTTTGATTTTCCATGACTGCGGACTGTGCAACTCAGACTCACCTTCCATGCTGTCCAATCGAGTCTCCTGTGAGATGACCGACACTGGGGTTGAGTCCGGCTGTGCCCTCACGTGGAATCTTTGGCGGGTGCTGTGTACAAATCTCTGCTTTCTGAAACCCACGTCACAAAACTGTGAGCCCAACTCACAAATGACCCAACAGTTAGGACAGGTTTCAGGAGGTGAACAGTTTGGTCCTCCACCAAGACAAGAGAGAGAACAAAGACCCCAAAGTCATGGTTATTAAGAAGAAAAACTACAATGAAAAAGCTCCAGGAAAAATCCAGTACATCCTCTTTGATGAAAAGGTAAAATATCACAATAATTCACTAATGCAAACAGGCTGGCGCATATATTAACTGTAATATGTAATGGACGCAAAATCAGGACAGTCCTAATGGCTCTTTGTGAACATTACACAAATATACATAACACTGAACTCTTTCATACACATATGAATCAATATTAAACATAAATTCAAGATCTCCATATCAGTAGGAATTTTAACAACACGGCTAACTTGAACATGAGGTTTACTTGGGTTTATGATCCTAGAGGGAAGAAGTTGGATTCTTTTTACTGATGCTGACTTTTATTCCTTTATCGGAAGCATTTTTATTTACAGTTTGTCCCTCTGACTTTGGAAAAAAAGAGTATGACTTGATTTGTAATAAAATACTTGAAGTTACCAGGTAGTTGCTAAGACATGAACCAGGGGAGGAATGATGTATACTGCATTGAAACAGATGAGGGAGAGAACTGTTTAAAAGCGATATATGATTGGGTACTCTTGTCATGACAGGAGTCCAGAATGTAGGCTGCACGGTATAGTGGACTTGGGGGGAAGGATTGCATAACAATAAAAGTGTTTTGCTTTTACTTTTCAAGGAGAAGAGTGAATTGGGGGAAGGGAGGTGTGGGCAGGGAGGAAAGTGCCACAATGAATGACTGGAAACCCTACGTCTCTGTAAATTTTCATTCAAATTAATAAAAAAAACAACAAACATGAACCAAAGTCTCAAAAGAAGAGCAAGGACAGAGCAGAGCCGTCCTCCCTTGTCTGGTGAGCATGGCACTTTGCAATCAATGGTGGGGACAGTCAGCACAGTCAGAGACATGAGAGAAGTCCACCCACCCGGAGGCAACCTCACCCACCTCCAATCCCAGACCAGATGCCTCTGGCATTCTCCTCTGCAAGATTGCATGATTAGCTTTCATATTTGGAAATTAGGTAGACCTGATCTCTCTCTTTTTTGGGGGGGGGGGACATGAGCTGATCTCTTTTGTTCCATGGTCTAAACTTGTTTTCACTTCTTCCTAGTATTCTAACGTAATTCCTAGTTCACTGGATCTACACCATTTCGGATAGCTATGGTTTGCATTGTAAAAAGGAATCAATTCAATAAACATGAACGTGAAAAAAAAAAAAGAAAGTGCTGAGCTACCTGGACAAAGCCAGAGATTCGTAACAAGCACAGCCCTTTCATAAATTAGATTTCTTTCTATTTAATATAGTTTTAAGAACTCAGGAAACAAACCTTCATTTCTCCACATCATCCTCCCATCCCTAGGGGCCTTTCTGAGATGTATCCAGGGGGTCGGCTCCCCTGAGGAAGAATCTGACACTCAACGCCACAGCGCTGCCTCCTGTCCCCTGGGCAGAGCTTTGGCTCTCTCTAGTACACTATTACAAGACAGCAGGCTGATGTGTGCCTTTTAATACTGAACACGCTTTTAATATTGAGAACACTTTTCCACACGATTAGAATTCTTTCTATTCCTTCCTTCCTTCTTCCTTTCTACATGACTTTATGGGGCAAGACATCCTCTCTTGAAAACCACTGAATCAAAACTCACTTTCTGAATTATGATTCATTAGTGAACGCAGGATCTGATTTGGGAGGAACCATGTTCAATTTAAATACAAGTGATGAAAAATCGTGCCTAAAATGAGTAATAGTTTCTGATTTCTTAAGTAAATTATTTAACTTAAAAACTAACACAAAGAATTGTTTTTAAAATATGTGAAACTTTTATGAAACACATTTTTCACATAGTTCAAATAGTCACAAATTACAGTTATCCTCTCATCAAGTTTTTTTTCCCAATTATAGCCTTTCCCCACAGATATTCAGACCTTGACTTTTTAATTCTTCATAATGATTTTTTTATCAATCTTTAGTTTAGCAACTTTGAAGAGATTCACAAAATTTCCATAAAAATTTCTATAACAAAACATTTTTTTCTGATACTATAAAATACATATTTAATAGACATATAAAACTGTCATTTCTATAGATAGCACTTCATATGCTTTTATCTTCCCAAATCCTGTTGTAGAGAACTGCTGTCTACTCCGAAGCTAGAAAGTTAATGTGTGCAATGAGCTTTAAAAACAGCTTTAGAGAAGAGTGGGTACATTTCTTCTTAAATTAGAAAATGATTTTTTGTGCTCAAGAGGCTGAAGAGACAAGAGAAAGCGCTGGCCCAAGGTCCATCAGAAAAGGTTTCAACGAAACACTTCAGACTTGGGAAGCTTACTCTCCCGGCCCTGGCACCCGGGGGGCGCCCGCCCACAGCATCAGTACTCCGCGTCGATCCGCTTGGCGATGGTGCTCAGCTGGATATTGGAAGTTCCTTCGTAGATTGTGCCTTAAACGAGGAGGAAAGGGACAGATGGGAGTGGATCCGGACAAGAAGCAGCTTTGTAAATATTGTCTCTGCGTCTGCTCTAGAACTACCACTTAACAACATCATGGTTCTGAGACATAGAACCGTCTGACAAAGACATTTAGAATAGATTCCTCAGAATTTAGGGAGCTCTGGCCGCCTCGTGGTAAACAGCTGTGCTGCAATCCCAAAGGCACGGGGTTTGAACTCAGCCGCTCTGTGGAAGAATGGGCAATCGCTTCCCGTGTGGTTAACTGCCTCGGAAAGCCCACAGGAGGATCAGCTATGAGTTGGTTCCGACTCGAAGACACACAACAACATGAGAATTTAGCTCGGGGATGAATTTAGCTCCACTCTCTTGAATGGAGAAACAGGATCTGTGCCTCTTCTTTTTCCAACTAACAGCCTCATTATTATTATTATTGTTATTCATTTTAATAAAAATTTACAGAGATTCTGGATTTCCATTCATTCCTTGTTGCACTTTTCTCCCTGCCCAACCCTCTCCTCCAGTTCGTTCTTCTCTTTGAAAAGTAAAAGAAAAATTCTTTCACTGTTTCACAATCCCTCCCTCCAAGTCCAGTCCACCATGCAGCCTTCATTCTGGACTCCCGTCATGACAATAATACCTAATCATACATCCCTTTTAAACAGTTCTCTCCCTTATCTATTTCAATGCAGTATATATAATTTATTCCATCTTTCTCTGTCTCCCTCCAACCCTTATGCCAGTCCCGTTTTACAGTAGCACTATACAATATTTGTCCTTTTGTGGCTGAGATAGATATTTCACTCAGCATAATGTCCTCCAGGGTCACCCATGTTGTAGAATATTTCATGAGTTCCTTGATTTTCAATGCAGCATAGTATTCCATTGTGTGAATAAACCACAGCTTCTCTATCCATTCATTGTTGATGGGCACTTAGGTTGTTTCCAACTCCTTGCTATTGTGAACAAAGCCACGATAAGCATGGGTGTGCATATATCTGCTTGGGTGGCAGTTCTGGTTTCTTTGGGGTATATTTCCAGTAGAGGGATTGCTGGGTCAAATGGTATTTCTATTTGCAACTTTTTAAGAAAGCACCATGCCCCTCTTTCTGATATCAAGAATTATATAAACTGCTGTGCTGAGTGTCCCAGCCCCGGGAAGGTGCAAGCTCACCAGACTAGTCAGCGCCTCGGTTCTGTCCTTGCATTTTGGTTTCATGCTTTAACAACTAGTTGGGAACTCCATGTATTTATTACAAATTAAGTTACATCCCTTTTCCAAAGGGAACGGGGCAGACCCACAAATAAAGTGGCAGCATCTGAGGATGCGACAAAGCCCTGCAGAAGGTGCTCTTTGCCAGCTTCCTGCCTTCGACGGAAGGGTAACAAATAAGAAAAGGACCTACCCTATTTCACTATTCTTTTAAACCTCAGGACAGACCACAGACAAGTCTGAAGGAGGGTCAGAATAACTCTGTTTTGCTAATTATAAATCCCATTCTCACATCCTCTGTTCCCTGGTCCCACCCCCAGGAACTGTCTCCAGAGGCATCCAGGAAGAGCCTCCGGGTTTGCTGCTGGGGCCCTGATAGTGAAGGGGGGCCCAGTGTCCTCAGTGCACCACACCAGGAAATGCCGACATTTTTAGAAACAAGAAGACTTTGGATTGGCAGTGCAACTCTTTATCCACTAAGCCAAAGCTCCCCGACTCTGTCGAGGTTACCAGCAATACAAACGTGAACAAAGGTGAGAGGTCAAACCTCCATGGAAGCAAATAAAACAGAACAGAAAACTTGCTCCTTACCAATCTTGGCATCTCGGAAGAACTTCTCCACAGGGTAATCTTTGGTGTAGCCGACGCCCCCCATCCACTCCACACACTTACTGGTTGTGAGCCCCGCCACCTGCCAAAAACAAAGGGCAAGTCACGCCCAGAAACCACGTGCTTTGGCCACTGCCACTCTGTGCACTGCTCTCGGGCACCTGGGCCCGCTGGCACTACTCCTGGCACTGAAGGCAGTCCACATACCACTGCTGTCTATTTTGTCCCCTTCTCTAGTTTGTCTTGAAAATATCCACGAGGCCACACAATCCTCATGTTCTTAGGAAAACCAGGGTAACGTTCAGAGCCTTCCGCTTGTCGGCAGGTATCATTTATTCAGCAAGCATTTCTGCCACACCCTTTTTCAGTCATGGGGTGTCCAACGGCTGCTCTCTTGAACTTGGTGGCATGTGAAGGTCCAGCCATCAAGCCAATGATGAAGGGTATGGGGCACAGGAACCGCTTGCTACAGTATAGGGCACGACTTGCATGGACTACATCTGAATATTATAAACCTCAGAAACTTCCAATCATCTCCCATCATAGTCACATTGCCCCAGCTTGAAGCTGTGGGATCAATGTCAACTTCAAGCTGAGGGTCACGGTTATGGGGTGAACTGTCCCCTCCCTTCACATGTGCTGCAAATCCTACTGCTATGCCTGCGGTGACAAGTCCATGTGGGAATGGACTGGCACGCTACAGTAAAGAGGCAGGATGAGTGTAGAGTATCTCTCTTTTTTTAAATTCTTTTTGTGCGTGCACCATCAGATCTGACAGGTACAGGAGGAGATTGCCCCTCCTTCTCCAACAGAGCATCTTGTGGATTTGAACCGTGTACCTCTGGGATTGCAGTGCAGCCTCTTGCTCCTAGGCCATCGGAGCCCCCTATGAGTATAGAGTATCTCTTGACTCAATCTCTTTTGAGATATGGAGACATTAAATAAGCAAATAGAGAAGCAGAGCCAGGGAGACACTGATGCCTACGCACAGGGCCATCTCCCAGAAAACAGAAGCTGGGGAGACAAGGGCCGTCCCCCAGCACTGACAGAGAGAGCCTCTCCCAGAGCCAGTGCCTTCAATTTGGACTTCTAGCCTTCTAAACAGTGAGAAAATAAATTTGTCTGTTAAAAGACAAATGTGCAGTATTTGCCAGCACAACACTAGATGGTAAGACTGAACCTGGTACCAGAAGAATGTGGAGCTGCTGTAACTGTTAAAGCTGTAATGAGTGGAGGATGGAAGAGTTTCAAAACACCTAGAACCATGTTTATCGTGGCTTTGTTCACAACAGCAAAGAGCTGGAAACAACCCAAGTGCCCATCAACGAACGAATGGATAGAGAAGCTGTGGCATATTCACACAACGGAATACTATGCTGCACTGAAAAACAAGGAACTCATAAAATATTATGCAAAATGGGTGACCCTGGAGGACATTATGCTGAGTGAAATATCTCAGTCACAAAAGGATAAAATATTGAGTAGAGCCACTGTTGTGAAGCGGGACTTACATTGGGGTTGAGGGAAGACAGAAAAGGAGGGGAGGAATGATGTATATTCCATTGAAACAGATGAGGGAGAGAGCGATTTAAAAGGGGCATATGAATGAACGAATGAATGAATGAATGGGTATTCTTGTCATTACAGAAGTCCAGAGTGAGGGCTGCACAGTGGAATGGACTTGGGGGAGGGATTGCATAATAATGAAAAAGTTTTTCTTTTTCTTTTCAAGGAGGGGAGTGAACTTGGGGGGAAAGGGTAGGTAGGGAGGGAGGGGTGCAGCAATGAATGACTGGAAGCCCTGGGTCTCTGTGAACTTTCATGAAAATTAATTAAAAAAACAACAACAAACCATCTAGCAGTAAAAGTTCAGCTAGCTCTAAAGAGATTGTTGATACAATTAGGGACATCAAAAGTAATTACAGTAAGAACTCGGAGTGGGGAGGGAACAGCAAGAGTAAATTTAGGTTAACAGCAAATGTCTTCTGGTGAGACTTGAAACGAAAATGAACGTGTGGTTTGACAATGGGGGAAGTGGTGCTTTCTTCGCAATGGCAAAGAACTTGTCTGGATTATGTTCACATGTTTGGTGGAAGGCAAAACTTGTAAGTGATGCACCTGTCTGTGAGGCTAAGAAGCGTTCTAAAATAAAGACCTTAAAGGGACTGTGTGGTTTCTCTTTGCTGCTTGCACTGAAGTATAAGAGAAATGAGATGGCATAAGAGATGAACTGTGCAAAATAAAACTAACATTGAAAGTCTGGCAAACTCTGTTGTACAAAATAAGGACATGCATCCTAGGGTGTTCACTATGGACGTGACACACTGTCTTCTGTTAAGAGAATAAGTCTGTGATGATCAATGTACCCAACTAGCAGCTTGGAGTGAAGGGCACACAGAAAAGAATCTTGTCTGCCTCTGAATTCTTCAGGCAGGAAACAGGCCAGAGAGGCTGTATCTGTTGTCCTCCAAGAAAAGAACAGGTCCATCCCTGAGCCGCTTGGAGAACGGCAGAACATTTAGGAGGAGCGGAGAAAGTGGGAGCTTCTCAAAAGGTGGAGTCATGATCTCTTGGCTCTCAAGGGGTGAGCTCACAGCCTCTTAAGCTTCAAATAGCTGAATCTTGGCCAGTGGGGGTTCCAGAGGATGGGGCTGCCATGAAGAAGTGCTGGGGGTTGGGGCGGGGGATGGGGATGCTGCCCAGAGATGGAGGAGTGGGGCGGCCATGCCAAAGGGACAGAGGAGTAGGGCTTGTCAGGGCTGAAAGGAAGGGGTCATCACTCAGATGAAGCAGGAGAACGGGGTCATCCAAAGTCAAGGGAACAAAGTTGCCATCTCAGTAAGCCTAGAAGGTAGAGAAGCAGCCCAGGGCTGAGGGGCCTCCAGCCAGAGTGTACAAGGCCTGGTCAGCATTCAAGACCAGAGGGCTGTGCTATTGCCCAGATGGTCTCTGAGAACACAGGATTATCTTCAAGACCTGTCAGCTAATGGAAATTACTCTGGTGGGGAATGACATAGTTGATGCCCAATATTCCTTCTTTTCCTCCAATTTCCCCCACTTGGAATAGAAATATCTATTTTGAGCTCAACACCACTGTCTTTGAAAACAGATTATTTGTAATCTATATTTAAGAGAACAGGAGAAATTTTGCCCAGGATAGAATATACCTAGAGTCTTACCTGTATGTTATTTAAATGGGTCAGAGGATGCTCTTCTAGACCTGCAATGATTTAAGACTTCTGGGATGATGTGACAGAGTGAGTTGTGACAGAGTGAGCTGTGACAGAGTGAGCTGTGCACACGGCAAGGAAAGAAAACTTCCAAGAGCCAAAGAGTGGAATGTTATAGGTTGAATGATTTCCTCCCTAAAATAGGTGTTTTAAATCCTAATCCCCCTATTGGTGGTTATACCCCCACTTGGGGATGGGCTGTCCTTGTTAAGAAGCAGGATTAGTGTAGGCTGCATCTTGAGTCAACTGCATGTGTGATATAAAAGAGCTTAAACTAGCAATGAGGGAGAGCTGGGGAAGACTGAAGCTAAGCCACAGAGACATTCCCAAAGGATCACGAGACAGAAACCGGAGAGACAATGGCCTTCCTTCAAGCTGGTGCCCTGAATTCAGGTGCCTAGCTTTCTGTGAGAAAACAAACGTCTATGTGTCAAATCACCCCCTTTTGGTATTTATGTTATGGCGGCATTAGCTACTAAGACACCCACACATGAGTTTGGGACACTTCTTGAACTGGGCTACTTGTTTCCCAGTTATGACCCTGTGAGAACACTGGACTCAAACAACCAATGCTCTTCCTATGGTGGCTTCACTCTGCTTCTCTATCAGAGGAGTTGGGCATTCTGTGGTATTTTATCTAAAATCCAACCACTCAAAAAAACCAAGCCTCAATTAGGGCTGCATAAGTGATTTTTAATTTTTTACCTCTGATGCATAGTATTTGGCCATAGATGCTTGTTTAATGAATGGCCTTCCAGCTTCTAGGAGCCTGGCAGAGTTGTAGGTCAACAGTCTGGCAGCTTCGAGCTGGGTGGCTATGTGAGCCACTTGGTGTTGAAGGCCCTGTAATATTCAGGCCCAAATGAGAGAATTAGATTTCTGAAAATACACCCCCAACGTCCAGCCTGGCCCCAGAACACAGTCAGACGCACACATACTGCCAAAGAAATTCACATGTATCTTTTAAATACTTTAACATCTGCAATCTAAAATGAAATATGCTGCTGCATGCATTGTTAAAACCTCTTTTCTTAGAACATTTTCAAAGTTCATGTAATTCTTTACAATTGTCAAGACTTAAATAATAAATTAGCAGAGGGTTAGGTTTAAAAAATTTGACTGTTCTATTTAACAATTAGTTCCAAGCCCTTTTAGGATCCAAATTGAGCTTCAACTGAGTCCTGGCACGGCTTCAATTTGAGCTCTTCACTTGCCCGACTTCAGAAAACCCGAGCTTCTGCACATGGCCCGAGGGCTTTAAAAGATGTTAGTGGCAAAGTCATGATCAAATAGCTCGTGCGCTAATTTTTCTCTTTCAAGTAACATTATTAAAGGGATTCTACTGCTATATCCAGGAACAAGAGCCAATTTCTGCAAGATTATTGAAAACAGCACAGTATCTGTTTAAAACATACTCTAAAGAAGTTACTATCAGGCTGAAATGAGAGAGGGTAAGTGGCTCCCACTAAATGTCAGTCCAGGTAAGAATGAGAAAATGAACACTAAGAGCTTATAGCGGGAAATAATTTCCTGGAACCGGAAGGCATGAATATGCCAAAGAATGGAAACGCTATACTGATGTGTACATGGAGAAACCCCAGCAGGGCAGGTACGCTTTTGCTGTGCATACTTTCAACAAGAAATAAAACCTGCCAGTTGGACTGTTCCTACCAGTACAAATCAGTATCACTGACCACATTCTCCTGAGTAGCGTAACCATTCTCACCCTCTGTTTCATTAATATAAATTCACTATCTCATAAGGTTCCTACTGAATCTTTCCAGTTGTTGGTAATTTGATCCCCTGTAGATGGTTTTTTTTAAAAAGCTTAGTGCTCACGGTAAGTGACTCCCTCACCCATTTAACTTGAACTATTACTGTTTCAAGAAGACACCAGTGGGTATTTTTGGCTTAAAGTTTAAAGATATCTCAAGGCAATAGTTCCTTCAGCCTCATGGCTCTAGAGACGCCATGGAAATTTTTAAATCTGTTGTACATTTCCCCCCTTTTGATCAGGATTCTTCTGAAGAACCTTTGCAAAATGTTCAGTCAGATTGCTAGGTACCATCTAGTTTTTTCAGTCTCATGGTAAAGGAAGCAGTTGTTCACAGAAGCAATTGGTCACACATTCTTCCTGACTCTCTGCATATTTTCTCTATTGTCCCAAGTAAACAAAGACCAATTGTGTGCCCCAAATATTACACAACAAACTAGAAGATAGAAGAGAAACATTAAACACATTATCTAGCCAATTAACTGTTTTGCCCTGTATACTTTTGACAACTACATGTAAAAATAATTAAAAAAAATTATTTCTCATGGTCATCCATCCATCTAAATATTTACTGAGCACCTACTATATGCCAATAAAGGAAGACAGCTCACTGGAAAATACAGCCAGAGATCTCATGATTACAGAGTCCAGGAGGGGCAGAGACAATTGTAACTGCTGAGAATCAACAAGTCTCTCTTGATGGAACTGTAACCAGGGTGCTCCTGAGAGACAAGGATGGTGGAACTTCACCTCACATACTTTGTGCCCGTGGCCAGGAGAGGCCAGTCCTTAAAAAACGACATCATTCTGGGAAAGGTAGAGAGAGTGTCAGTGTGTTAGACAATAACCCTCAACGAGACGGACTGACACAGGGATTGTAACGACAGGCTCGAGCACGTCAGAGGTACGGAGGAGGGTGTAGGCCAGGGCAAGTTCAGGCGGCCATGAGCTGTAGTTGACCTGGCAGCACCTAACAACAGGTAGGAAGCAGCTCTGAGAGGCTCCCGGTTATCCTGAAGAATGCTGCAGCTGGTCCCCGGGTACTCGGTCTGCAGGGACTGTGGCTATGCCCCTGGTGAGGGTCAAGGCCTTCCCAAATACGCTTCCTCAGACATGTCCCCACCCCTGTCATCCAATCTCTCGGAGGGGATTCTCTCCACGGTTTTACAATGCAGTTCCTCATTAACAGAAGACAGAAGACATCCTAATCATGACTTACCTGAAAATCAAATATTCTTTTGCCAAACTGCACTCTTTCTTTAATATATGGGATAGTGTAGTCAAAACATCCTTGTGCCAGTCCCAGCATCTATTAAAAAAAGAAAGAGAGAAACGCAAAAAATCTATTATTTGTTGCAATTTTATGCTTTAATTAACTATTCATGATGCAAAGTCCTTTCACGGGGAAGTGAAAGCACTGAGCAGGGGAGGACTTGAGATGCAGCGACGGTGAGATATGGTGTCGGCAACACACCTTCACTCATGGTTCATGCACAACCACACTGTCTGTGACAGGAGGACACAGGGTGACCTCATGTCAATATGGGTCTGTGTTAAACCCAAACCCAGCGCCTCGAGCTGAATGTAACTCACAGTGGCACCACAACAGTTATCAGAGGCCATACATCTTAATGGAGAAGACTGTCTCATCTTTCTCCCTCAAAGCAGGAGGCAGGTTTGAACTCCTGACCTTTTAGTGAGAAGCTCAACTCTCAGTGAACTATGCCATTGGGGATCCCCATTAATGGCAGCGCAGGTAAACCTGGAGTGGCGTGCTCACGCCATCTGTCCATGTTTCAGGAAGCCTCTCCAGTAAGCACGGATCCTCTGGGAGGCACGTGAGCCTCCGAAGTTTTGCTCAGAACTGGCCTCAGGGTGCCTCCCCCCAAGTCTTCCAGAAGTCAAATGTGAAAGTCACGTCTTAACCTTCTGGCTTCCATGCTGTTTTACATATGATCAGGATTAATAAGAGCTTCAGCGAAAAGGGCATCAGGATATAAAAAAAGCAGTACTCCCCAATCTGGTTCATGTTAGAATCATCTGGAGAGCCTAATAAAAGATATTCCTGCCTGGGCTGAAGGGCTGAATCCTGGAGGGGGGATGGGGAGAAGTGGCCTGGGCACCAGCATTCCACAAAGTCCTCAGGGGACAGAGGGCAGCTCCAGAAACATGCACCTGCCCCCAGACACGTCCAGATGCAGCAACAATCTCAGCTGAACTTTGCAGGTACAACCCAATCTCCAACTGACGGATTCAAGTTTAGCAATGGTTTCTAAATGTCAACCTAGGAAATCACTATCTAGTTATGTCAAAATGTCAGGTCTAGAAAAAGAAAAGGAAAAATGGAGAGGGAGCTTTTAGGGGAAATGCCCATATATTTATCAACATTTCATTACTACTCACCCATATTCTCGCTTAGCCTTTTAGTTTGAACTTTTGGGAGAACAGGATACTATGTCCAAAATGAAAGGGGTCAAGACCAAAAGCAAACAACACAAAATGTTAAAAATTAAAGAAAAGCAGAGACCTGGGGGACACTCCTTGCTAGGAGAGAAGATGATGTTGCTGCGTCCTTGGGACACCACATCCGAGAGACATAAAGGATGAAACAACCATGTGCCAATCAAGACAGACTTTTCTATCTTAGTAATATGTTTTCAGTGTAAACACTAAAAAAATGAATTCTGACTACAGGATTTCAGTCATTGATGCCTCCTTCATCAAAAGGCACCAGCAGTTTCAACTGAGGTATAATAACTACCTGACCTTAACTTTTAATTAGGTTATAAGATAACTTGGAGTAATTAGATGGAAGCCCATGCCGTGGGTTTTACGGCCAGAACACGTATATTATTCATATGTCTGAGAACAATTACATTCAGAACTGCAGCAGTGAATGCCACGGCTGATGCAGTGAACTCACAGAAAAATTTCCAAAACGCAGACAAACTGACATTCTCCAGCCGCATATCGACCAGCTTTGTGGGGAAACTCCAGCAAGGCTTTGATCAAAGAATACTTAATGTGTTCAAAGAGAGCTAATTCGTGTGTCATCTTTAAAATCTTAAAACCTACACATTCTTTCATGTTTGACAATTATTAATTAAAAACACTCTATGATACAATAAAACCAAAGACTTAAATTTTTCTAATCTGAAAAGTAGCTACTATCACTTAGTATAAAAGTATAACATATATTATAAAGGGCAAATCTGAGTTTTAAAAAGTTTTTAATAGTACCCAGGTATCTATGTAGTTCTTCTATTTTTATTTCATGTGCTGGAAGAATTGGTCCACTTTTCCTTTTCAAATCACTGAACAACAGATATTTCCTTAACTATGAACTAAGGAGGATTGGATGCCTTTGAGCTGTGGTGTTGGAGAAGAGTATTGAGAATACCATGGACTGCTAGGAAAACAAACAGATTTGTCCTGGAAAGGGATAAACCGGGTGGCTCCTTGGAGGCAAGGATTCTGAGGCTCCGTCTAACATACTTTGGACATGTTGTGAGGAGAGACCGGTCCTTGGAGAGGGACATCATGCTTGAGAGGGTGGAGGGACAGCGCAGGAGGGGAAGACCCTCTATGAGGTGGATTGATTCAGTGACTGGGATAACCGGGATGGGAGTGTCAGAGACAGTGCGACTGGCACAGGACAGAGCAGAGTTTAGGGCTGTTGTACACATGGTCGCTATGAGTCACAAGCGCACATAACAACAACAATGGATTAGAGACCCTAAAACAAGTCTTCTATCAAGAAATGCCATGTTTAGAAAAGCTGATTTTTTAAAAAAAGGTGATGTCTTTATTTACAACACATTTTCGACATCTGGGCCAGGTACTGGGTTGAATGTTAATGTTCTGTTTCCGCTGTGCCACTCACTGTTTGTTTGGGCCTTTGGCCACACTCAGCTGACCACAGGGACCGGGGAGCCATGAGCAGCAGCCCTTCTAGCACATTCTGCAGGAAAGGGCGCCACCTGGCGTTCACGTGCTCTGAGCACCCACCACTCTGGCGACTGTGGACTGGGCGGCGTCAGACCCGAGCCCCAGGGGTGACCTGACTTACCTGCGCTGCAATGCCTATCCTCCCTTCATTGAGACTCCCGATTGCGTACTTATAGCCTTGCCCAACTTGTCCCAGGATACTGGTTTCTGGAACCTGAAAGCAAAAACCATGCATTTTCTCAATCTCTTGTCTCCACTTAATTTCATGTTGATGATGTATTTTCCAATGCACTGTTTGAATTTGTGGACCACTATCCTCTCAGAGACCCACTGCCCGAGTCGGCTCCTCCTCCGAGTGACCCCATGAGGCAAAGACTTGAATCTCTGAGACTATAAAGGTTCCCTAGAGCCTCTTCTGTCTCCAGTGGAGCAGCCTGTGTGTCCCTGGCCGTTTGATAAGAAGCACATGCCTTAAGCACCATTATCTCCAGGGCTCCTTTGTTCTGTCATAAATGACAACTGCCACCTCAACCCATGGCCTTTGGTTCGATTCTGACTCATGGTGCCCTTCCACCGTCAGGTTTCCAAGGCTGTAACCAGTCCACCTTTCTCTCTTGAAACAGCTGGTGGAGTTGAACCCCTCTGGCTGGCAGCACTCGCAGCCGCAGCCTCACTCTCTCCCAGCACACACTCAACTCCAGGAAGAGTGTGGGCGGCCACCTGGGTCTCCCCTCACTGCGAGGAGGGGAAATGCTCCCATCTGCGCAGTCCACCGCTGCATTTTCTGTGCACAGGCATTTGGTGAATGAGTCCGTCTATAAATGCATACACCTGCTTTCCAAAGACTCTGTAATATCAATATTCATTCACAAATAAAATAAATGCTGACGAAAACCCCTAACAAAAACCCACAATCTCATGTTTTCTCCTCTCGACTCTCATGTGCATGTGATAATTGAGGACATTAGAAAAGACAAAAACACTCTGGTGGCCTAGTGGCAAGAAGCTGCACTGCAATCCCAGAGGTACGCGGTTCAAATCCACCAGATGCTCTGCTGGAGAAGGAGGGACAATCTCCTCCTGTACCAGTCAGATCTGATTTGACGGTACACACACAAAATAATAAAAGAAAAAAAAATGACAAAAACTTACTAAGAACTTGCAAGGACTGTAACACCTCTCCGGGTGAGACTGCTCAAATACATACAAGTCAACTGAGATGCCTCTCTCTCTCTCTGTGTGTGTGTGTGTGTGTGTGTGTGTGTGTACACATACAAGCACATGCATATGAGGAGAAAAAAGGAGTGAGGAAAGAGACCGAGATGTTTATTCACAAGTGAAAACAAATTACGACCAGGAGCAGTAATAAACAACGTGCTGTGCTTTTCCACACGGTGTTAGGCCAGGTGAGGCGGGTGTGGACGGGACAGATACAGAAAGGAGGGGTGACCAGGTGAGGTCCACACAGTGTCTGTCTGGAAACGGCCGGTGCACATGTCTGTGAGCAGCAAACTCCAGCGGTGACTTGTGGCCGGGATATCCACACTGCTCTCTGTCCAGACATCGGGCATCGGGCAGTCCTGTCCCCATGAACAGGTCCCCTGCACGCAGTGGGCCGAAGCCCCTCCAGCTCACTGGGCGACACTGCCATCTTGTGGCCTCTGCTGGACCGACTCCGACCTGTCTTCCCTGAAGGCAGAGGCCTAAGGGCTTAACGCCGAGTTTGTGAAGTATAAAAGGCTTACTTGATAGCACTGCTTCCAAGGCCTACGGCTTTCCAGTATTTTCCACCCTTGGACTAAATTCCTGGGGTATGTACATTTATTTATTTACGATACAATCTTAGAATCAAGTCCCCAAAAGCACTGCCATCAAGTCAATTCAACGACCCTCTGGGACAGAGCAGAGCCACCCAGGGGTTTCCCTCAGACGTAAACGTTCACAGAAGCTGACTGCCTCCTTCTTCCACAGAACAGCTGGTGACTATCTGGTTACCAGTCCAGTGTGTAACCTCTGTTATACACAAAGAGCCCAGTCCCAGACCTGAGAACACATTCAGGGATTTGACACAAACTCAGCTGTGTACCTCTGGCCCTGGATCTTTGAACACCTGTGTTTTTGTCCTGTGAAGACACGCACACTTTATGTCACACCAGGCTCTTGCTGCAAACTCGAAGACACTCACCTTGACATTTTCAAACGTTAATGGGCACGTCGAGGAAGCTCTGAGGCCCATTTTGTTCTCTGGTCTCCCGATGTGGAAGCCTTCAGCATCACGGTCCACCAAGAAGCAGGTGATACCTCTATACCCCTGAAAGGCAGGTTTTAAATTCTTTTATTATCCAGATTTCTCACTTCCAAAGAGGTCAGGGCAAAAAGACAACTTAGGTGAGTTGTTTTTTTTTAAAAATATTAGCCAAAACAAACAAACAAAAATATTAGCCAACTCACGACTGCAATATTTGCTCTCCACAATAAGAATGCCCAGAGGACAAAGATCCCCAGATAACAAAGTCAAAGTCACTAGCCCTTAACCAATTTCAGAACCATTTAACAGCTCAACTCTGAACGGATCCATAGCTGACCCTCCAGCGGGTTTTCAAAGGCTGTAAACTGCACAGGAGGAAGACTGCCCATCCTCTCACATGGAGCAGCAGCTGGTGGATTAGAACCTCTTGCCTTGGAATTGGCAGTACAACTCCTTACTGCTGAGCCACCATGGATCCCTTCAGAAACCATTGTTACTGTGGCTGTGTGCCATCGAGTCGCTTGCTACTCTTCGTGACTCTACGTACCAAAGCTCTGAGCTCTATCTTGAGCCAATTTCATTGTCTCCAACACACCCACCCCCATTACCCCAGTCACTGAGTCAATTCATCTCATAGAGGGTCTTCCTCTCTTGTGCTGTCCCTCCACCCTTCCGAGCATGATGGTCTTCTCCAAGGACTGGGCCCTCCTAGCAACATGCCCAAAGTATGTGAGACGGAGCTTCAAAGCCATTGTTGTTGTTGACTGCCGTCGAGTCAAGCATGACTCATAGCAACCATCTGAACAAAAGGCCTGACGCCATTCTAGTGGATATTAAAATGATTAAGTTGCCTTAAGGTGCTATATGCTCATGAGAATTTCACGTTTTAAATTTAGTTTTAGTAAATAACACTTCGACAATCAAATGCTACACTGCAGAAAGGACAAAAGATAGAGCATATTTATACTTTTCCTGTCTGCCTATTTCCCAACTGAATGAAGTAAGTTTTCTTAAAAGTAAAGCTAAACTTTTAAATTCTCCAGTTTTCTTTTTGTTTATTTTTTAAATTCTTTTTTTACGTTATTATTTTTGTGTGTGTGCCATCAAATTAGATCTGACTAGTCCAGGAAGAGATCGTCCTGCCTTCTCCATCAAAGCATCTGGTGGAATCGAACTGCATACCTCTGGGATTGCAGTAAAATTCTGTTTTTTAAAGGAGAAATCTGAAATGCGACAAAAATGAAAGCTTTGCTTCTTATATAATAACATATTAGAGGAGAATTTATAAATGTCCCTGCATGTAATCAAAATCATTCTTATTTTAGGAGATCAGTAAAAAGTTCAAGATACTAGTTTGTTTCTAGCACATTCAGTTCTGGGTGAATGAAGAATTTGAGACTAAGTCCTAACAAGGGAGCATGCAGAGATGGAGAGGAAAGGGGTGAGGCCAGAACACCTCAGTTTCAAACGTACGGCGGCAGGGTCGACGTTAGCCATCACCAGGAACAGGTCTGCGTACTCGGCATTGCTGATCCACATCTTTGACCCGTTGATGACGTAATAATCTCCTTTCTTATCTGCTCTTGTCTTCAAAGAGAATGAGTCACTACCTGCTCCAGCCTCAGAGAGGCAGAAACTTCCCACCTACAGGTTCAAGGCAGGAGAGAGGGGACATCCAGGTTAATCACTGTATTCATCTGCTGTGCATCAAGTATTCACATAGACCAAACGGACATTTAGTAAGTAAAAAGTTTAGCTCCTTTTAGAAGCCGGTCTCTGGCATAGGAGTAAGGGCATAGTGACAGCCGTCATGGCATGGTGGTTAAAGAGGACGGCTGCTAACCAAAAAGTTAGCAGTTCACCCTAAGGAAACCAGAACTTCCACCCAAGCAGATATATGCTCACCCATGTTTAAATGCTGCTTTGTTCACAATAGCAAAGAGTTGGAAACAGTTAAAGTGCCCATCAACAAACAAATGGATAGAGAAGCTCTGGTATAATCACACAATGGAATACTATGCTGCACTGAAAAACAAGGGACTCATGAAATATTATTCAAAATGGGTGAGCCTGGAAGACATTACGCTGAGGGAAATATCTCACTCACAAAAGGACATAGTGCATAGTGCCACTGTTGTTGTAAAGCAAAACTGACATCCAGGTTGGGGGAAACTAAGAAAAGATGGGATAAAAAATGTATACTGCATAGAAACAAATGAGGGAGTAAACTGTTTAGGAAGAATATATGATTAGATATTATTGTCATGACAAGAGTCCAGCATGAAAGTTGCATAATGGAGTGGACATGGGGGCAGAGGGGACTGTATAACAAGGAAAGAATTTTTTTCTTATTTTTCAAAGAGAAAAGCAAACTGGGGGAGAGGGGTGGGCAGGGAGGAAAGTGTACAACAATGAATGAATGGAAACTACCCAAAAAAAGTAGTTCAAACTCATCATCTCTTTCAGGAGACAAAGGGAGCCATCTGTCCCCTAAGAATGACAGCATCCCCATGGACAGTGCTGCTGTGTCCTATGGCGTCACCACTCTGTTGTTGTTGTTGTTGTTGTGTGCCATCGAGCCAGAACCAACTCACAGCCAACCCTCCACAGGGTTTTCAGAGGCTGTAAGTCACACACAGATCGAGAGTGTCCATCTTTCTTACTAAGGAGCGATTAGTGGATTTGAACCTTTGCCTTTGGGTTGGCAGCACAGTTCCTTACCCACGAGGCCACCAGAGCCCCCAAAAAGGGCACTAGGACTCAGAATTAACTCAGTAGCAGTGAATTTTTAGTATTTACTTACTGCAACTAAAGACTGTAAGAACACATATGTAACATTAATTATGCTGGTTCTAGTAGCAAGAAGCTGCGCTGAAATCCTGAAGGCATGTGGTTCGAGGCCACCAGCCATCCCACGAGAGAAGGATGGGCAGTCTCCTTCCGTGAGATTAACTGCCTCTGAAAACTCAACGGAGGGTCAGCTAAGATTCTTCAGTACACAACAACAACAACAACAATTGCATTAAAAGACAACTGAAGGTAAATGAAACCATTAGTCAAGGTATTAGAATAAGTGGAGCAGAAAGGAAGTAACGTTACAGTTGAAAGTTTATTCAGTGAATTCCAAGTGGCAGACGGGAGGCAGCGTGGACTTGCCCAGGAGTGTGAAGCTGGCAGGCTGCGTCGTTATTAAACCCCACACCGCGGCTCCGCCACGGTCTGGGAGACAAACACCACAGCTGCTTGGAGTCCGGAATCATACCAAATTCATAAACGAGTAACAACTTGTCTCAACTCACTTTTCTGGAAGCCAGCTGGGGCAGGTAAGTGGCCTTTTGCTCTTCTGTTGCGTGTTTTTTCATAAGCGTGTTGATTATTGTATTCTGGATGTCACACAAAACGGACACTGAAGCGTCAACTTTGGCTAATTCCTCTATCACCAGGATGCAGGAAAAAAACGAAGCTCCCGTTCCTCCGTACTGTGTGTCAACCTCGATGCCCATCAGCTGCAAGAGGAGGAGGAGATGGGGGTAAGGAAGCCATGATTACAGAGGGAGGCGATCTGCAAGAACACGTTACAAAATAAACTATCTTAATTTAAAAATGTGGTATATATTTTAAGTCTATATGGATATTTTGCTATGTTACAAATAATAACAAAAGCAAAAATCCAGAACAGAACTTGCATGTACTTGATGTTGTTATGTGCCATCCGGTTACCTGTGACTCATAGCAACCCTGTGTACAACAGCCCTAAACCCTGCTCTATCCTGTGCCAAGCTCACTGTCTCTGACACACCTAACCGCATTACCCCAGTCACTGAACCAATCCACCTCATAGAGGGTCTTCCTCTCCCCTATGCTGTTCCTCTACCCTCTCAAGCATGGCATCCTTCTCCAAGGATCAGTCCCTCCTTGCAATGTGTCCAAAGTATGCCAAACAGAGCTTCAGGATCCTTGCCTCCAAGAAGCAGGCTGGTTTAACCCTCTCTAGGATGAATCTGTTTGTTTTCCTAGCAGTCCATGATACTCTCAATACTCTTCTCCAGCACTACAGCTCAAAGGCATCAATTCTCCTTCTATCATCCGTCACTGTCCAGCTCTCGGACAGATAGCAAGTGATTGCAAAGACCATGGCTTGTATCAGGTGCACCTTAGTCTCCAGACTGACATCTTTGGTCTTCAGTATTTTGGAGAGGTCTCTAACAGCAGACTTTCCCATTGCAATAAGTCTTTTAATTTCCTGGCTGCTGGTGCCAAGAGTGTTGATTGTGGAGCCAAGCAAACTAAAACTGTGAACAATCTCAATCTCTTCACCATCCAGTGGTGAGAATCTTTGTTTTCTTGATATTGAGTCTCAATCCATACTGAAGGCTGCAGTCCTTGATCTTCTGCAGCAAGTGCTTCAGGTCCTCCTCAGTTTCAGCAAGCAGGGTTGTGCCATCTGCATAACATAGATTGTTGATGAGTCGTCCTCCAATTCTGATGTCACATTTCTCCTCATAGAGCCCTGCCTCCTGGATAATCTGTTCTGTATAGAGATTGAAAGGTATGGAGAAAGGACACATCCCTGGCGTACACCCTTCCCAATTTCGAACCATGTAATGTATTTCCTTGCTCTCTTCTGACAACTGCCTCTTGGTCCAAGTATAGGTTTTGCATTAGCACGATCAAGTGTTCTGGGATTCCCATTCCTCTCAGAGTTAGCCACAGTTTATTATGATCCACACAGTCAAACACCTTTTCATAATCAATAAAAAAAGATCGACATTCCTCTGGTACTCCCTGCTTTCAGCCAAGATCCATGTAGAATTCTTTTCATTTGGATTTGGGACCAAGAAACAAACCTAAGAAAGGTAAAGTGCTTGAAGATAACTGAATAGAATAAAATGCAAAAATATCTGACACAATACGAGTATTTTCTCATGACTGTTGTTACTATGAACCGTCAGCTGCCTGCTTAAAAACAGTAGGTACTGCTTGGTCATTTTTTTGTTGGGGAATGTTGGGGAGGGAGGGAGGGCCTCTGGCTAGAACAGATTAAGTGCAAGCCTTCCAACGACCTTTAATACGGGATAGAGAAAGCTCCCCTGTGTTTGGCTGTACTGGCCTGAGAAAGCTCACCACCTGGGAAGACAGCTCCCACATCTGTTGAGCTGAGAGTGGTCTGCAGGAGGCTAAGGTTCTCCTGTCCAATCCGCATGCCCTACATCTGCAAACCCACCCTATCCTGTCTACTTGCTCGTATATAAGTGCACTGCAGTCCCCAATAAAGTTGAGCTGGACTGAGTCTCTGAACGGCTCCAGGAGTGGTGTGTCTCCATTGTGCTTACCCCCATCAGGGTGTTGCCGTTTGTTGCCAGTGAACGGACAGCAACAGTTTTTCAACACTGCTGCCTATGACTGCTCCTTTCACAGGGAAGCAGTAGAAAGTGACCGGCTCCTCCGTGGGAATCTCTTCCCAATCACCTGGAATAACCAGCCAAGGTGTTAACAGGATAGCCATTCTTTCTGGGGTAAAAGGCCATTTTAGCAAGTCCAAGATAGCCTCTGGCCAATGTTCAGAGGTGCTGGAGGGAACTGGCCTGACAAAGTCCAGGCTGCCTGCAAATGTGACAGAACACTGGTCATGATTTCGCAATAAGCCTGTGCCGGTTCACGCTCTGGGCCTCTTTCCGAGTTTCAAACGCTAAACTGCCACCGCTTTCCACTAAACGTCTTCCTTTCAGAGAGCGCCTCAAAGGACACGGCTCCTGTCCTCTCAGACGGCCAGGAACCACACCTCTGTGCAGCTGGGGTTGTGGCGGTTTAGACTTAAGCGGAAGAAAAGCTGAGCTGGCGAGTGGGTGGGACTAGAGTCAGGAGAGTGGACGTGAGGGAAGCAGAGATGACATGTTGTGAGCAAGAGCTGAGGGGCTGGTGTACCTGAGGACTGAGGGAGACACGGTGGCCACAGATGACCATTTCAGTGGCTTAGCGGACGTTCTTTCTGTAAGGCTGTTGCTGTGTTAGCTATTCCAGCAGATGGCCTTGGCCCTGGGACAACAGGTGGGAGAGACTGAGAACACCTGGCCATATTGTGCGGCCAAACTGACTGTCAAGTGGAAGCCAAGTCCAAGGGAGAGAGGTTTATGGAGCTGGCCGAGGGCTGCAGGCAACAGCCTGCTGCAGGGAATGCCACTTGGGAGAGTGACCATGAAGCGTGGAGTCTGTCTCCTGGGAAGACAAAAGGTGGCTGGGGGGGGCAAGTCCCCAGTTCTGTGTACGTCTAGACTTCAATAGACCCAAAGAACTCTACTTTCCCAAGGGCTTCACTGTGCAAAGAAAGCTGGACAGAACCATGACTACACATGGTAGAAAGAAGTTGGTCTCTGTAAAATCTGAGTGTCAATGGTGAAAGACGGAGAGAAGATGAGGCAAGTCTGCCTCCAGGAGATTCCCAGCCTCACAACACTCAACACCAATAAGTCTTCGGTTGGATTTTAAAACATGAAGAAATAAGGGAGCTCCGGCGGCCTAGTGGCAAGAAGCTGCACTGCAATCCCAGAGATACGTGGTTCAAATCCACCAGATGCTCTGCTGGAGAAGGAGGGACAATCTCCTCCTGTACCAGTCAGATCTGATTTGACAGTACGCACACACAAAAATAATAATTAAAAAAAACTAACAAAACAAACCATGAAGAAATAATACTCTCGCTGAGCAAAAATCACGATTTTTTCAAAGAGGATGGCAGAGATAATTGGGATGGTGGCTAGACAGCAGTTTCTGGCCGAGGGCTGCTGAGAGGACTCAAAACAAGAACAGAACTCTCCCTGGGCTGCCAGCTGCCAGCTGTTCCCTTCTGCTTACTCACCGGCAGCTCTCCATTGCCTGGTCTACGCCGGACTGCCGAGTAGAGGGCTGTGTGACTGGAGAAGTTCACACAACTCTGCCCTGGTTAATCGGCCCAGGACACTATCTCTGCTCTGCAGCACGGACACGACAGCACCATGGGCCGTTCTACTACCTACAGCAGGTTCCCCAGGCTTGCCATGACGACACCAAAGCACGCTCTCTGTGGGAAGAGCTGCCCTGTGCTGTGCACCTACAGGCGCTTCCGCACCATTCCTGGTCTCCACCTCAGTGCAGAGAGCAAGTCCTCTCCTCCGCTCACCGCTTCTCATCAGACTCAAAAGCAAAGGAGTTCTAAAGAGAAAGGAAATGGAAAGCCATCTTTACGTACCAGGATCTCCATCTAAAAATGGAAACAAAGTTTTGACCAATGTGCTAAGATGCTCCTCTCTGATTTGAAAGTGCACATGTATCTTTTTTTTATCATTGCCATGTATTTCCAAAGGTTTGAGGAATGCTGAAATACATACCCCCTGCTGAAACAGCCCCTGTATGATTGACTTGTCCATCTTCGAATTTTCATCCATTGTCGAAACCAAAGGGGCGATGTGTTGCTGGGCAAACTTTTTAACTGTGGGGGGAAAAAATACAGCTGAGATTCCAGGTCCAAGTGGCCAACACGAAAACAGTATAAGGACTCTAGCAGCTCATGAACTGTTCAGACAAAAATATTTGGCATTAATGACTAAGTTTTAATACATACAGATAACCTTTTAATTCTTTTACATAGAATTGTTGAAGTTTGGGTTTTTTATTAACATAGAAAAAAAAATCCCAACCCCCTGCATTCTATAGCGCAGAAACCCCAGACAACATCGATAAATTCACACAGCTCCCACAACGTAGCAGACACAAAGGAAAAGTAAGGCCTCGCCCCTTCCCCCAGTCCGCTGGTCCCTGAGTCCAAAGTGACAGATTTTAAGGTTGCTGTGTATATTTTTTTTTCTTTTTAGGTGCTTGGTTGAGTGGAAGTTACAAATCAAGTTTTCATTCAACCACATATACACATTTGGTTCAACAGCATTAATACCTACAGCGGCATCACACCATCTCCACTTCTCCCCTGTGATTCTGACTTCCATGCGCCCTTCCCTTTCTTCAGTGATACTGTGTCAATCTTCCCTTATTGGGTTTTGCCTTTGCCCTTGTTTCTATTTTTTTCTGAAAACCTTTATTTGCAAACCATCTACATCTAGTCACATATACACACACACAGATTATATATCTCCTTCACACACAGAATGCACTAGACAGACTTGTAAGCTCAATCTCTTTTTCCTTCTCACTGCCTGGTGGATTTTCCATGGGAGCAGTACCACTTGGCGGAGCCAGGGACAGCGGCAGGGACACGCGGGTCAGGGCTCGTGCCCCTCAGCACTGCCGACCCAGGAGCAGGTCCACCTTTGCTGGGCACCGTTCCGAGCAGTGAAGGACGTCCAGCAGTCACCCTGTTCTCTACCTTCGGGGTGCCAGGAGTGCTGTCTTGGTGCCAATGGCCAAAACCCAGCTTGGTTCCTAGGTGCTGTTGGGCCGTCTCCGATTTATAGTGATTCTATGCACAACAGAACCATACCGGCCAGATCCTGCACCGGCCTCACTATCTCTGAAGCCCACAGCTGCAGTTACCCTGTCACAATCTATCGTACTGAGGGGCTTCCTCTCTTTCAACGACTGCCCACTTTTCCAAGCATGATGTCCTTCTCCAGGGACTGGCCTCTCTGATCATGAAGATAAACTCTACTGTAGGTGGTAGCTCTGCCCTGGGCTTATCTGAGCGCCTTCCAGTCTGAAGGTGAGCTCATGGTAAAACGTAGCTGTTAACCACGCTGCTCTGTTAACCAAACCCCCCAGCTACTCTCAGGGAGAAACCCGGGCAGTCTCCTCCCATTAAGATTTACAGCCTCAGAAACCAGATGAAGGTCACTATGAGGTGGAATCCACCGTAGACACTCGGCTTTGGGATTTCAATCTGAGGGTCCATCCTCCAGCATTTTATCAGACACTGTCCCTCTGCCATCCACAGGGCTTCCGAAGCTCCACTGTTTCAGAGGCAGATGGCCAGCCTGGCCTCCTATGTGCCTAGGCGAGTGTGCACAGGTCTGCTGACCTGCCTGTTTATTGAAGACCCTGCTTCCCTATCCAGTCTCGGGTTCTCTTGCTCAGGGAACATCCATGTGGTCCACCAAGAGTCACGGTTCCCTGAGGGAAACCTTGCCAGGCAGAGCACCCAGAGCCAAGGTGATCCTACTAGTATTCAAAACGTCGGTAAGACTCGGAGCCCAATAAATAATACGCTGTTATTCTAGAAACACAGACAAACATTCCTCTGGTACTCTAACATTAGCTGTAACATCCCTAGTACCATGGCCTCTTCTAAACACAGCCTGCACATCTGGCAGTGTCTGTTGATACACTGCTCCAATTGTTTTTAGATAATTTTCAGCACCATCTTGCTTGCATGTTAATAGTAATGATATTGTTCAATAATATCTACATGCTGTCTGGTCCCCTTTCTTTTGAATAGAAAGAAATATGGATCTCTTCCAGTCAGTTTCACCAGGTGGTTGTCCTCCAGATTTCTCGGCACAACTTGGTAAGTGCGCCCAGGGCAGCTTCTGTTTGTTAAAATATGTCAATGGGTATGCTGTCAATTCCTGGGGCCTCGTTTTTTGCCAGTGCTTTCAGAGCAGCTTGAACGTCTTCCTTCATCTCCACAGGCTCTTGCTCTTATGTTGTTTCATGAAATTCTTCTGTGTCTGCCCAATTCCTTTTGTACAGTGACTCAGTATACACCATCTTTTTTTTTAGCAAAACAACAGAAAAAAGTTTATCAAGGTAATAAACAGAGGCATAACTAGTGAAAGGTAGGCTATGAAAAAAGTTAAAGTGAAAAAGAAGGATGGAGGGAGAGAGAGAACCACTGGAAAGTAAAGGGAAAGGAGTAAGCCAAGCAGAGCAGCAGACTGTCCGCAGAAAAGGAGAGAAACATCTTCTATCACCTTTTAATGCTTCCTGGAGCATTTAATATTCTGCCCAAAGCATCCAAGTATTGCAACTTGAGGCTTGAATCTGTTCTTCAGTTCCTTCAGCTTAAGAAATGCTGATCAAGTTCGGCCCTTTTGATGTTCTGACTCCAGCTCTTTGCACACTTCATTATAATACTTTGTCTTCGTCACTTGCAATGTGTCAAAAAGCTGGACAATGACCAGGGATGAGAGAAGGAGAATTGATCCCTTTGAGCCATGATGCTGGAGAAGAGTAATGACTATACCATGGACTGCTAGGAGAACAATCAGGTTCATTCTAGAGAGGGTGAGACCAGACTGCTCCTTAGAGGCAAGGATTCTGAAGCTTCGTCTGATATACTTTGGGCATGCTGCAAGGAGGGACTGGTCCTTGGAGAGGGACGTCATGCTTGGGAGGGTGGAGGGACAGCACAAGAGAGGAAGACTCTTGATGAGATGGATCGATTCAGTGACTGGGGTAATGGGAGTAGGTGTGTCAGAGACAGTGAGGTTGGCACAGGATAGAGCAGGGTTTAGGGCTCTTGTACACAGGGTCACTATGAGTCACAAGCGACTAGATGGCACATAACAACGTTAGAGCTCCTTACAGAAATACAGCTTCCTTCATTTAGCCCGTAAGTTAAGCCCAGTAGATCAGTCTTAGTAAATGGATCTCTGTACCTGTTTCTTCCCTTCTTTCAGCAAAACACTGATTTTTTAGGATGTGCTAGATACCATGTTAGTTGCTCAGCATGCAACGGTGGCTGAGCTGAGAGTCAAAGAAACACAGTGTCTTGTCTGTGGACTCACAGCAGCCAATAGAAACAGAATTTAAACGCTGTTGGGTTATGAGGAACCAAGAGGGGCAGGGTGGGAGCAAAGGGGTGAGGATGGGCAGGGGGCAAATCATGGGTCACATAATTTGGTGGGTGGAAGTAGAGTAAAGGAAATGGGAAAAATCCACTGGGGATCTGGAAAGACAGGACAATGGTGGGAATAGTTCAGTGGTGATTAATTTTATAAAACATAATGAATGGGAATCATTATAAGAAACACAATGTGAATGAAGGACAGCGTGAAAGAATGTATATGAACTCTGTAAGCAAACCAATATAAAATTGGAAAAAAAAAATGTTGGCAAGACAACCTTTTTTTTTAAATGTTTTTGTCAAGACAAGCTTTTGTCAAGACAGCACAGTGAGCATATTATGTAAGCCGTCCAGCACACTGCCAGGTTCCCCGAGGCACATTGCTTTCGCTCCTGCATGAAGTACTTCTAGACGTTTGAAGGTTCTCACTTTTAAATTTCAGTCTTAAATCTGCCTGGAAGTCATTCTGGTGAGAAGAGTGGGTACCCTCAAGCACCTTCTTATCTTTATATGACAGAACCAACAGGTGCCATGGGAGTGCAGGGAGGACAGCTCTCTCCAGGCGACCGTGAATGATGATGCCTTTCTGACAAGCTGTCCCTTCAGCTGAGGACATCTTCCTTGCCCTTATCCGGCTGTGAATTTTTCTCCACCTGGGGGGGCTTCGCAACACCAGGGTCTCAAGGAAGCCCAGGTTATGAGTTTTCCCTACCCTCAATTCCAGCAAATTCTCTGTGACCTCTGCTTTACTCCCCCCACCTCATGCTGTATTCATTTCATAACATTTGCTGCGGGATGTGGAAATGTTTCTCACTTGATTTCCTATTCCAGCAGACTGAGTTCCTTGAAGGCAGAGATTCTCCTGTCCTGAACCCAAGAGGAAAAGCCAAGCCAAACATGCTTTTTCAAGCCGGTTCAGACTCTAGGCACCCTCCCCTGGGAACTGGATCCTGCCAGGTGACTCCCTTCCCGAGGCAGCAATTCGTAGGAGGAGACTGCTCAGCGCTCCTGTCCTGGGGCAGCTGTGGATTTGAACCTCTGACCTTTCAGTTAGCAGTTTAAGATGTAACACACCTCGTCACCAAGCCCCTGGGCCCAGGACAAAACGCGTACTAAATTCCGAAGGGGCTGTGCCTGAAACTGAGTGAGCAAAGGCCAAGAACTCCATTTGGACTAATTCTGCCACAGCTCCGAGGAACCCAGCCTCCAATGGACACAGGCCATGGCTGGCGGCCGCAAAAGGCTTTGGTAAGATTTCATAAACTTATGAAAAATTTCTGAACCTGCCAAACAAAGCTTTCCTGGGGAGGCTCAGCTTGCCTCCGTGCCCAGACTCTGGTTCTGACTACCTGAACCTCAGGACTCAGTAAGTCTGTCTGCGCTGTTTCCCCGAAGGCATGTGCTCACTTCCTGTCTCCCCACCACAGTTTGGTCATTCTTGCAATATTTAAAAGTTTTCCCATAATAGTACTGCACACCTAAGCTCTGGAGGCCTAGCCAGTAATCAGCTGTGTTGCCAACCCAAAGGCATGCAGTTCAAACCCAGCGATGGCTCTGAGGAAGCAGGATAGGCAAGCTCCCCCGGTGCGACCACAGCCTCCAAAGTCGGCTGGGGCCCAGCTACCGTCAGGTCCACCTTGACGACAGCGAGTCTGAGCTCTGACCGCACACTATGCTGCTGGTGCTGGACAGCATCGAGTTAACCGGACTCGAGTGACCCCGTGCACAAGAGAACACACACTAGCTGAGTCGGCTCCCGCCTCCCAACTGCTGCTGGGCTTCAGTCCACCGTTAGGGTCACCGTGTCAACTCGCCTCGTGTGTCAATCGACCCCGTCGAGACCCCTGCCACCATCGTCGTCTTTTTTGCTAAGTCTTTCCCCCTGGACACTCCCCTCATGATAACATTCAATGGATACCACACAAAGTCTCAACATCCTTAGTCTTCTCCCCACTTTCCTCTTTTTCTTTATTATTAATTTTAATGAAAATTTACACAGCTTTTGGACTTCCATTTGTTCACTGCTGCACTTTACTCCCTGCCCAACCCTCCCTTCCAGTTCATTCTTTGAAAAATAAAAGAAGTCCACTCTACTACACAGCCTTCGTTCTGGACTCCTGTCATGACAATACCTAATCATATATCCCTTTTAAACAGTTGCCGCTCTCATCTGTTTCCATGCAGTATACATTATTTATCCCATCTTTCTCAGTCTCCCCCCAACCCTGATGTCAGTCCCAATTCTTAAGAAACATTCGGGCTGCAGATTTCCTAAGATCGGGCTGCAGATTTCCTAAGACAGAGATGTATACTCAACAGCCTTCGCCAAAATCACAACCAGAGACATTTCTTCTTGGGTCATCCTTATTCAGTCCACCTTTCACAGGCATATGATGCAACTGGAAACATCATGACCTGGTCAGGTACCCCTCAGTGCTCAAAGTAACATCCTTTCTCTTTACTGCTTTAAAAAGGCCTTTTGTAAGCAGATTTCCCCCTATACAACACATTGTTTGGCTTTCATGACTGCTGCTTCCATGGGCATTGATTGGGCATTTCCTCAGAAAATCAATGATGTGTCCCAATTATGCCCAGTACATTTTGACAGAGATGATACTATAGGGATGTAAATTGGTTTACTGAATAAAATCATAACATCACACTCTCAGGCTAGAACAAATAACCAAGTTTGTTGTACTATGATTTTATTATGGATCCAAGTAAAAGGAAATTTGTGTGAACCCAGTCCTTGCCCTATTTATTTTAATGATGCTTCAGCGTAGTGTAAAGAAAGCTTTGCTCTGCATTGGGGAACCAACGGATGCATACAATTCACTTTTTTTTTTAATTTAAGATTGTTTTAGATGTTTCTAAGTTGTCTGTGAAATAATAATCCATACTGAAAACAAAGAGAAGCAGATTAATTTCTAAGGAGCCCTGGTGACGTACTGGTCAATTGTTCTGTGGAAGAAAGGGGACTGTCCGCTCCCTTGAAGGTCACAGATCAGGACTATCTGGGCAGCTCTACTCTGTCCTCTAGGGTCACTATGAGGCAGAAGTGACCTGATGGCAGTGGGAGGAGGCCCACAAAGCAGTTTCTGATAAAACCAGAGAACCAGGGGAAGGTGAGAGAGAGAAACATAGCTTTTAAACAAATAGTCTTTATTTCTCAGTAACTAACCACCACCTACCACCCCCCACAGACATGTAATGCTTTAAAAAAAAAAAGTCAAAAATTCCTTTCACAAACTTAAGACTTTAAGCATATCGTTTTTAGTCACGTTACATGTCATCTCAGGTTGCAGACCCAACCTAAGACCAGAAGGAAGGACGCTGGCACGTGCACCCACCTGTGTTCTTTATCATCAACTCCTCTTCCGAGAACGTCTGTAGTGGGGCGCAGGGCGGCCCGTTGGTGGTGAGGTCGAGGAGAGCTTCCGACTGGGAAGATCTGAAGACTCGATGAAGAGTGTTCCATGGCGACAGACCAGCTGGGAGGGTTCTTGTGAGCTGCAGAAGAGGTCCCATTGGAGCAGAAGCATGCACGTGCACACACACACACACACACACACACACACACACACACGACAGAAGGTTATCTGAGGCTGAGGATCAGTGTCTTTGGAAACATTTTTAAACACATCCTTTTTATGCTTTTTTTAGCAATAAGGTAACTTTGGACTAGGAAGAAATTTGGAAATGGGGTGGGTACACAAGGTACTTTCATCTTCTTCCTGATAAAACCTCAAAAGGCCACAAAGCCTCTGTGGAACTGACTGCAGTTCAGCAACCCTGGAGGGCACAGAGGAATTACCTCACACGGTCTCCAGTCTCTACAGAAGAAGACTGGATCATCCTCTCACAGAGAAGCTGGTGGATTCAAACCCCCGACCTTCACGTCAGCAGTCCAGGGTTTAATCCCTGTATCACCAGGGATCCCTTATAGGCGCCCACATACCACCGTCACCAATTCCAGGTCACAGTGACCCTCCAGAACAGAACGGAGCTCCCCCACCGGGCTTTCCAAGGACCCCATCTGTCCCGGCTGTGGTGTGTGAACTGCTGAGCACTGGGGTAGCAGCTATGGTCGTAACTGCTGTGCCACTGGGCCGCCTCTTCGTAACAGAGCAGGGAAGACGTGGGAAGGGGAAAGGAGAGGAGAAGTAAGAAATGGCAGAGCAAGGAGCCTCGAGAAGAGGAAGAAGAGGAGGAAGCTGAATGGAGGAAGGAAAGTGCTCGGGAGCTGTCAGCAACGAGGAAGAGTAGGAGATGGGCTGGAGTTACAGAGAAGGAAAGGAGGTGAGCGTGGGGTATAATGGGGATCACTGCCTGGTGGCCGAGGCTCAGAGCTTCTGTGCAGATTTGAACAAATGGAAGAGAGCACCAACTCATCTTCTCCAGCTCGTGCTCATAAAACTTGGCTATCACACTGCAAACACCGTCATTCATTTCTCAAATGTCTTACTCGTAGGGGACATTGTTTTCTTCCCTCAACTCACTAAAGAGCTCTTCGTGTCTCAGTTAATACAAGACCGTTGTACAGAAGTTTATCTATAAAAGACTAAATCACATTAATCAATGACAATGAATGCTGTAACACAAAATGTTTATGAATGACTGCATGAAAACCCAATTAGATTTGTAAACCTTTAAAAGAAATTTTTAAAAATACAACACCCAAACTGCTCTTTTTTAGCACACACACAGACGTAAGAAAGCCAGTTTGCCATTGAGACATTTAAGAAGTCAGTGGGCCTCAGGATTGCACTCATTTTCCTTCTGAGCCAGCTGTCACCATCTGCAGTGTGGCATATAATCAGATCCTTTTTCGAGGTGCCATTCTGTGCTGTACTGTAAAACTTGCTCTCTATGTGGCTGAGCCCCGGTGAAGTAGTGCTTTCTCTGTTTTGCTAAGCTTAGGCTCCGTGGTTCAAATCCACCAGCCTTTCAAGGTCTGTGTGGTCATCGCAAAACCCAACAGTGAAACCGAGTCCTGTGGGAGGACAGCTGGTGTCACAACTGATTTTAAAAAGGTTGCAAAGTAAGAGGCATGTTTGACATCTGCCTTACAGAAATCAGCTGTTAGCTGTCGATCTAGAGTTTCCTCCCTCTTCAAGTAGTTAGAGGCAGGCAGACACCTCTGCCATGCTGTCTGTATGCCACCTTGGCCTCACGACTGTTGCTGACAAAGTATATGAGTCCTTGACACATGGCGATTATTTTATACTTCACAAGACTCAAGAACAATGTACTTTAAAAAGAGTGTCTTTGAGCTGTGGTGCTGGAGAAGAGTGCTGAATATACCATGGACAGCTAGAACAAACAGGTTAGTCCTGGAGAGAGTGAAGCCGGGCTGCTCCTTGGAGTCAAGGATTCTGAAGCTTTGTCTGACATACTTTGGACATGTTGTAAGGAGGGACCAGTCCTTGGAGAGGAGCAACATGCTTGGGAGGGTGGAGGGACAGTGCAGGAGAGGAAGACCCTCGATGAGATGGATCGATTTGGTGATTGGATTGGTGGCAAGATGTGTGTTGGAGACAATGAGGTTGGCGCAGGATAAAGGAGGGTTTAGGGCTCTTGTAGAGGGTCACTATGAGTTGTAAGCGAGTCGACAGCACATAACAAGGCAAATACAGAGTGAGATGACTGAAGATGTCCACCGCGTGGTGCTGAGTGGAATCCACTTCGGACCACAGCAGCGACAGGCACTGCTTCTCTTTCTCAACAGGGAAAACAACCATCACTTATGTAGCTTTTCCTTTTAAAAGTCTTTAATAAAAAGGTCCCTTTTCTTTGCTTGAACTAGAAAACCCAAGGGTTCAACGATGACCGTCTAAAGTCCCTGGCCTTTCTGTGGTGACCTTTTTTCCAATCTTTGCTGCTTCAGTGTCAACACCATTGACATGATTTTCCACATGGTAACCCGCCACACTGCATCATCACATTTTTTTTATGCACAGTGGCAGCTGCCACTGAATGTGACAATGGTGATTAATGCCCTGCCACATACTTCTGCCAGCTTGAGTGTGACCTGGACCTGTCCACCTGAGCAGAGTTCAGGTGTACCTGGGAGAACTGGGGGAGAAGAGGGGGAGTGGTCTACCCTGGTGGGTGGACTCCTCTGCATGGAAGTCAAAATGCCACCAACTTGGACAGGGAAAACAAAGGGACATCTTAGCTTTCATTAACGTCTCTCTGAAATATAGCAAAGTCCTTTGATTATAAATGTTGGCAACAAACCGTATTGGCAGCATCTAGGACTCTGTTGGGAGTTCCTGGGTAGTATAGAATTGGTTAATGCACAGGACTTCTAAAGTCTGAAGGTTCAAGACTTTCCCTTGGAAGAAAAGCTTGGCCATCCACTTCCCCAAAAGATCAGGCACTGAACACCCTGTGGAACACAGTTCTACGTCGCCACACGTAGGGTTGCCAAGAACGGGGACGGAGCCCACAGCAGCTCTTCTGGCAGCTGGTGATCCAGTCACGCAGAAAATCACATGTTATTTTTTTGTTGTATCACAGCTGTTATCCAAACCCACATGAAACCCACTGACTGCCATCAAGTAGACTCCAACTTGTGGCCACTGTCCATCAAGTTTCCAAGACTGATGGTCTTTACCAGAGGACACTGCTCATTTCCCCTGTGGAATAGATGATGGATTCAAACCTCTGACCTTTCAGTGAGTAGCCCAACAAGTAACACGCTGCATCACTAAGGGCTCCTTCTCAGCCCATTGTCAATGAGGCTGAAAACCCTCTGGCAGGTTTTCTGAGGCTGAGGAGCAGCGGAGGAAAGTGCCCGTGTTTCTCCCGTGGGGCTCCTGGGGGATCTGAACCTCTAGAAGAGAAGCCCCTTTGGGTTGGCAGCGTCACACCCTAGAACTACCCCACCAGAGCTCCCTTAGTGCTCCCCGGAGATGGTACAAACATCGCAAAATACTGTCTGTGCTGAAAACCGCTTTAAGATGAGCGTTACTGAGTTAGTTCACTCAGCATAACACTCTACAGGAACTCAGGCTCATAAGGACAAATACTGCGAAAGACCATTATTATAAAAATAGAAGGGTAACTAGTAAAACGTGTATGGGGGCTCAAAGGGGAACCGGGTGGGAGTTGAGGGGTGAGGATGGGCGGGGGAGAAATTATGAAGTCGCAAAATGTGGTGGGTGGGGGAGAGGGCAAAGGAAATGGGAAAGATACCGTGGGGATCTGAAAAGACAAGGTAATGGTGGGCATAGCTCAGTGGTGATTAATTTTACAAAACACAATGACTAGGACTGAGTGTTTGAAAGACAACACAAATGAATGACAGAGTGAAACACAATGTATATGAATTTTACATGCAAACCTACATAAAATAAAAATTGTAACACAAGACACCCACACAGGGAGTTAGGATTTGCCAAAAACAAAAATTCTAGTTATTGAAACTGTTGCTAGATCTTCTTTCTCCGACTCACTCACTCATCGGAGGTTGGGGACACCCATAGCTGGTCTTCTATTCGGTTCCCAGGTCTGTCATTCTACAGAAGGAGACTGCCCATCCTCCTCTCAAGAAGCCACTGGCGGATTCAAATCGCCAGAGAGGAGCCACAGAGATGGAAGCAAACAGATGTTGTTGTTGTCAGGTGCTGTCAAGTCGAATCTGACCCCCAAGACCCCTGTCAACAGATGGGGACTGTCCAACCCTGCACCATCTACAGCATCTCCGACACACTCGAGCTTACTGCCAAAGTCGCTTTGGCTAACCCTTCACCTTTCCACACACGATATCCCTCTCCAAGGAATAGCCTCTCTTAGCAACATGCCCAAAGTACATCAGACAAAGCTTTATCATCTCTGCTCCCAGGGAGAACTCTGGCTGCACTCTCTCCAAGACATACCTGTGAGTTCTTTCGGCAGTCTACAGGCAATACAGTCCTCTCCTCCAACACCAGAGCCTGAAGGCATCACTTTTTCTTCTGTCATTCTTATTCAATAGCCAGCTCTCGGATGCATAGCAAGTAATTGAAAAGACCACGGTCTGAGTCAGATGTACCTTAGTCCTAAAAATGACATCATTGCTCCTCCATCATTTGGAGAGGTCCCTGACTGCAGATTTTCTCAGTTAAATACATCTTCTGATAGCCTATACAAAGTAAATACTTGTATATTAATCTTAATAGCAACATTATTCACAAGGGCCAAATGGTGGAGACACCCTAAGTGTCCATCAACAGATGAATGAAATATGGTATGTTGTTACCGTTATATGCTGCTGAGTCAACTGCAACTCAGAGACACACTATGAAACAGTATCTTTGGACCCTGTCCTATCCTGAGCTAATGTTTCCAACATATCTATCCCATTGCCCCAGTTACTGTAACAATCTATCTCATCCAGGGTCTTCCTCTTCTTCACTGACCTTCCACCCTTCCAAGCATGTCCTTCTCTGGTCCCTAATGGCCACATGTCC